TACCCTGAGAGATTCTGATTTACCAAGTCAGGGATGGGGCCCTGAAATCTGCATTTTAGCAACCCCCATCCCCACCCCCAACCCCTGCTACCTCCCAAAGGATGCTACTGCAGGTGGTCCAGAATCCACACTTTGAGAAATCCTAGTGCAGGGAATATAAGTTCCCATTCTAACTGATTCCGCAGAGATTGGTACCCAGTTGCAGAAAAGCTGAGCCTCAACTAGAAGAGCATTTTCCAGTACTGTTCATCATCTCATTGATGGCTGCCAGTTTTGAGAGCCTGCTCTAGGCACTATACTAGACACCTAATTAATGCTCATAATAGCTCTGAGAGATTATATATCTTACAGCGCTGAGGTTTGAACCCAGGTCCATGTCCTTTCCACCACACTAAGTGAACATTGCTCAGTGGACTCCCCACATCCTTGGCCATTGTGACGTTTGAAAGAGTTATGGTTGTTTGTGTAGAAGTGGTATTGAATGGAAGGGTGGGAGTACCCTCTTTTCCGAGTGCTACCGAGGCCCTTTGTACAGTGTGATGTCGGGGCCTAGCACTTGAGGCATTTTGCTATTAAAAATTAGCTTCTATTCCTGTTTCTTTTGTCTGGTGACCTGACCCAACAAATTGCTTTCTGTTCCCTGAGCAAAGGGGGAAAACACAGGGCTAAACATATCTTCGATTGTTTTTACTTTTCTTTTATTGTACTTCTCAAAACGATAAAGATAGAAACAATTAAAATACTATCTGCCTTGCAGACAGAACAAGTGGCCACCTGGCTGGCATTGTTACACAATAGCAGTGCTTTGCATTTTCAGAGTATTTCAGATGTTACCCCGCCAACAAGTCTCCTAGCTGCTTTACACATGGCCACACTGCCCAGGTAGAGCAGAGAGTACTAGGCACAGCCCAGGTTGGACCTGCCTGGCCAAGCAAGACTTACCTTTGCCAAGGCCAAAGGGCAGGCAAGACCAAGTGAACACTCACAACCATCTCTGCAGCTTTTACATGCATTTTTGCAATCCACTCCTCCCTCCACCCACTGCCAACTGAGGACTGCCATGTGCTACACTCCGTGCTAGGCACGGGAGAGGCAAACTGGGCAGGACTGTGCTTGAGTTTGCAGCCCAATAGAAGTAGACGTGTAGGCAGATAATTCAGGTTCAGGTAACATACGTGCCATACAATTGAAAATCTAGGCAAAGAGCTGTGGGTGCCAAAGGGCCATACAGAGAAAGCGTATCCTCCAGGGAGGTTTGCGTTGGCTTTTAAATGAGGAGACTCTCTTGGTGAACAGAGGATAAAGATACGAGGAGAACATTATAGACCTTTGCAGAGGTGTGAAGATGTGAAAGAGCTGACGTTTGGGGGAAAAGCTATAATTTCTCTTCACAGTTGAGAGCTGATTCTTTGAGTCCTCCCTGCAACAAAGAAATCGTACATATTGAGGTCATAGAGGCTTATTCAACACAGTGGAATAGGTCCTGTAGGCAAGCCAGGACGCATTAAAGTTGACCATCCAACCCGGTCCCACTGGGGATGTGATAGGTAACCTCAAGGCCAAGTAAATTGGACTCCCACCCTCTGCATGTGGATTTTACCTGTGCTCACTCCTGCAGTCTCCTTATTAATCTTTAGAAAAGACTAATAAGAATGACTCTTCAGTGTTATCTACACAAACCAGAAGGGGTGTACTTTATGGGCAGTTTCAGGGATTTTCACAGCTGATTTTGACTCTACCTGATTCCCGTCTGACTGCCAGTGTCATAGGAAGTTTAGTACCTGATTGTAGGGTCTGTTGGGGACAGGAGGAGGAGGCAGGGGCCCAGGTGCCAGGCTGAAACGCTCTGTGCTTTCCAGGAGGCAGTGGGCAACAACTGAAGGGGCCTTGCCACGATAGGTGTGGGCTTCATAAAGTTCTCTAGAGGCAGTGAGAAGGTGGAGTAGGGAGCCCCTGAGGAGTCTAGTCAAGAAGCACTAAGATCATGGATGGCCGCAGGAAAGGAAGGGCACTGCCATATGAGAGACATGGTATATTCATGTTTAACTTGCTCAATGCCCCAGTCTTCTCATGATTTCCCTATATATGGGCAAAATTCCAGGCCGCTGGAAGAAAAATGTAACAGAAAGTGGTGTCCTCTGAGGATAGGATCAACTCCTTTTAGTATTCTGGGTTTCCTAAGGCCTGGCCTGACACTCTTATATGCTTCAGGCTCCTTTAGTACCAGCCATTGCGGTGCCATCTTGGGGCTCTTGCTGCTCTGTGGCTGGGCCCATTGGGTCCTTCCTCAGTCTGTTATGTTCCTGGCCCATCTGGTGCCTCAGTGCCTTGTCCCAAAAGAGAAGTTGGTGGCCGGTGTTACTCTACACAACTTCTTAAAAACCCAAAGGAGCCAACCTGGAGGAGGATGGGGCTGTAGGCCCTCACCCTGACCCTGGTTCATGTCCTGAGTTAAGCAAGAGCACGGCACTGGTGGGCTTGATGGTCTCATCCCCTACATATTTGATAATATGTTTTTCTCATAGAAAATTTGGAGACTATAGGAAAACAAAAGAGAAAATATAAATAAATCAGCTGTCTGCTAATCAACTAAATATTTTGGTTTTATTCCCTTACATATCCCTTCACATACAACATACATATTTTACTAAATAGGAATCGTACTGTCTATATAGTCTTTTTCCTGTTTCTTTGTGCTTAGCATTACATTATTAGCATTTCCCCACATCATTAAATATCCTTTGAAACTCTGGTTTTTCATGCTCCATGTTATTCCTTGATAATTTATTTAACCAGCCTCCAACCATAAGACATTTTAATTATGTTTACCATTTTGTTGTTACTTATTATCATTTTGATGAACATCATCAGACATAAATCTTCACTTTTTAAAAAATAACTTTCCCTCTTTATCTAAATCAGATAACAGATTGTCATGACTCAGTCAATGTTAGTTTATATTTCTTTTAATTTTACTTTATTATGTTAGTTCACTGAACTTTCAACTGCTGACTAATGTCAAATTTAAACTGTTTTAAAAGAATGGTGAATACTCAAAGGGAATGATTTCTGTGGGTAGTGAAGGCGTACTTGAACAACATAAATACAATGTGTAAGAAGATACTTTCGGGTGATTTGGGGAAATAATTGATGCAGTCCATTTTGAAGGAACAGGTATTGAGACTTTCCTTGGTCAGGGCTAGGGAAGATTCAGCAATGAGGTGAACTGGATATTACCAGCAGCCCTGCTTTGTTCCAAGTGGCCTTCCTCTCTCCCTCCTCTCCTGTTTCTGAGGTCTTCTGTGAATACAGCCTCTGGGTTGTTTCTCCCTGTGTCCCTTACCAGGGTCCCAGCCCCTCAGACTCTGGGTCTCATGCGCTCAGCAGGCTGCCCTAGAGGAGGAAGCATCACATTTAGTGGGTTTGGCTTTTCCTCTGGCTCAAGGATCTCCCTTGGCCTGCACTGGTCACCCATCTCGAACTAGTCCAGTGTATGTGTCTCAGTGCCCTTTGAGAAGTGGCTACTCGTAGAGGAGATGGGTTTGTAGTCCTTGGTGCCTGGAGCAATTCTCTGAACCTATAGCCCATGTTGCTTAACCCATAAACTCCTCGAGGGCAGGGCCAGTATCAGGTTCACCTGTGGTTCCCCTCAGCACTGTAATGTAGTGAAAAGAGCATGGGCTTCAGGTCAGACCAGCCTGGGTTTGCAGCCTGTCACGCGTTATCTGTGTGGCCCTGAGCTAGTTCTCAACCTCCCTTATGCCTTATTCTCTCTGTCTGGGCCATGCTGGCAGCTGCATGTAGGGTGCTGTGTGCATTACAGGGCCCAGGTTGAATGCTCAGTAAATGTGTATTTAAATACCTACTGAATATTATTTCAGGTTTCATTTCTATCCTTCTGCTGACTAACTCAAGCCATTCACAATTTGCATGATTTATAAATACTTTCAGTTTAAAAAAATTGAAAGTGCTAATTTTTTGATCCCTGACAACATACCGTATTTTGTAACTTTGCCTTTTGTATTATAAACTTGAATACCAGGACTATGTCAAATTTATCTTTGCATCTCCTAAAATGCCCAGCATAATGCCTAATTCCATAGTAGGAAACAACAAATAGTTCTTGAAAATGTCTCTAAAATAAAGGTTCAAATGCAAATTCAGCATTTCATAGAAGGGTTAGCTTATTTATTCATATGTTCAAGTAGAGAACTCAATCTGTAAGTTTAAATTGTACCCTTAAGTCTGTGGAGCTCAAGACTTACTCTTACACATTTTAATTGCTTGAAGTGTCCTCAGTTTCAATGAGAAATCAAGTGAACACAGAGAAAGTGCTGTGATTGGCAGCTGTTGGTGATGTGCATATTGTTGTTATTAATATTATTGAGCATTTTGGTGGAGGGGGCACAAGTCAATGAAAGATCCAGTTTCTATCATCAGTAAGTACTTTAAAAATGGAATTCAGATGAACTAACCTGGAAGCACCTCAGCCCCTTTTTGGCCGTGACCACCTGAAGTACTGAAAGTCTCGTCTTTGCTTGTGATCTTCTGCCAGGACATTCATTCCAAGTCCTAAAAGCAGCAGAGAACTGAGTAGAGACTTAACAGAAATGTTGCCCTGACTCTGCTACTGGCCAGCACAGGGTGCAGGGCAAGTTGGTTTTCCATCTATAAGCTGAGAAAGCATTTTGGGTAAAAGACTATTGCTTTGAATTTTTCCTGGATGGCAGTACAGTATGATGGAAAGAAAACTGTATCAGGAGTCCCAGGGGTATATCTGGATTCTAGGCCTTGCTCTGCTGCTAGCCCAAAGCCTTGGGAATCGCTTCCTCTCTCTGGGCCTCAGTGCCTCATCTGTAAAATGAGGCTGGACTGGATAGTTTTGAAGGGCCTTCTGGCTTTTACATCCTCTGTTTGAAACGGGCTGTTGATGTGGTGATAAAGGGCTGGAGTGAAGGCTTCTCAAATCCTGTTTTCTCTCTGTGTTATTTGTGAACCAGAAAATGACAGATGGCGAGACCTGGACAGGAAGTGCCCTCTTCAGATTGACCAACCTAGCGCCAGCATCTGGGAATGCCTGCCTGAAAAGTGTCAGGATGGCTCACTGTGGCACCGGGATGCAGTGACTGCCTGCGCCGTGACTAGCCTGATCAAAGACCTCAGCATTAACGACCACAACGGGAACCCCTCAGCACCCCCCAGCAAGCGCCAGTGCCGCTCACTGTCCTTCTCCGATGAGATGTCCAGCTGCCGGACATCATGGAGGCCCTTGGGCTCCAAAGTCTGGACTCCTGTGGAGAAGAGGCGCTGCTACAGTGGGGGCAGTGTCCAGCGCTACTCCAACGGCGTCGGCACCATGCAGAGGAGCTCCAGCTTCAGTCTCCCCTCCCGGGCCAGCGTGCTCTCCTCGCCCTGTGACCAGGCAGCATTCCACCACCGATTTGGAGGGCAGCCCTGCCAAGGGGTGCTGGGCTCAGCCCCCTGTGGGCAGGTGGGCGACACTTGGAGCCCCGACCCACACCCTGTGGGAGGGGGCCGGCTGGACCTGCAGCGGTCCCTGTCCTGCTCGCACGACCAGTTTTCCTTTACAGAATACTGCCCACCCTCAGCCAACAGCACACCTGCCTCAACGCCAGAGCTGGTGAGACGCTCCAGTGGGCTTGCCCGAAGCCGCTCCCAGCCATGTGTCCTTAACGACAAGAAGGTTGGTGTTAAACGGCGGCGCCCTGAAGAAGTACAGGAGCAGAGGCCTTCCCTGGACCTTGCCAAGATGGCCCAGGTAAGAGCCCCAGCAGCCTGCAGGGTGCTTGCAGAATCCTTTTGGTACTCATTAGAGCCTCTGCTGATCCTGGCCCATCCTGGCCGAGAACATAATGCTTATTTCAGAATACTCAGGAGTGGGTTAATTTCTTTGTTTTTTAAAAATCCTATTCAAAGAAAGATTATTTCAAGTTGGTTTTTTTTTTTTAAAAAATTATTTCTCTCCATTTAAAATCAGACCTGCTTTTTCTCTGTGATGTGCAGTGCTAGTGGTGCAAGAGCAGAAGGATGGTGAGAGGCAGGGCACTGGCGGGCAGACCAATGGGACGCAGCACTGGTCCTCCCCTTCTGGCCTTTGCTGGAGCCCTCTCTCTCAGGAAGCCCTCCCTGCAGCCACTGTAAGAAACACTCACACACACTGGGATTCAGTGTTGCTTGGATTATGCTGATCCTGAGATCAGGGCTGTGGGTAATGGTTTTAGAGAGCAAGAGATGGTGGGGGTGGTGCTCCTTGTTTTGATTAAGCTTTGAAATGTTAGACCATGAAGAAATAGTGATCAATATCCTCTGTGCCTCCTTTGTAATCATCCTGGCTTTTTGCTGTAGGAGAGCCTCTGGCCACACAACCCCTGTCACTTGGACTTTATCCTCTTTGTCTTAGAGTCCTGCCTTATGCCAGCACTGATCTTGGGTATTGATTTGAATGAGATGAACTTAGAGTTGATATATCATCATCAGGACAATCTCTGAGCCTAAGGGTTGGCTGTATTTTGTTCTTACTGGGGATAAGAGTGTCTAGGCCCAGTGAATAGGGTTAGCCCTTGTGACCTTTGACTGGGGCCAGGTGGTTGTGACAGGACGCAGCGCTGTTGGTTCTGTGTCCATCCAGAAGGCTTCAGTTGCTTACTGCCATGGTGTGGACCATCATCTTTGCTGGTCTTGTGTGTATAAACGTTCATCCTTGCTGGGTTTGGGAGGAGGAAGATCTGTTTATTGGTGGGGACAGTCTCAGAGGGGATGGTCTTGCTTTTGCAGCATCATGGCTAGATCCTGGGAGGGCAGGCTGCTTGTGTCCACTCTGATTTGAGTGGGCACAGTGTCTTCCTTTTAATGCCTGATGTTTTCTCAGTTGGGCTGCCTTTCATTTTAGAAAAAAATGCAGTTTCTATTTATGGAGTTTTTCTTCTCTCCCTTTTAGTTCCTACTTCCAGCCTAGAGGACCCCCTACAAAAGAAGAGGTGCAGGTATCTCAAGCCTTGAGCATGCCTGGCCCCAGAGTCCAGACGTTCTGGCTACCTTTGTTCCAGAGCCCTGGCCCTGCCCGGCGAAGGCAGAAGGAGGGCAAGATGATGGTGTGCTCATGCCTCCCTATGCCAGTGGGTCCACTTGAGGGGAGCCTGAAGTAGTGTGGGGAGACCTCCTGCCCTTCCTGGTCCAGGTTCCGTGTCTTCCATTGTGGCTCCCGGTGTATCCCTTCCTGTGTAGTAGACAGTTTTGACCTTCCTAGCTGGACAATGATTGAACACATTCATTGGGCCCGAGGAGGAATTTTCCTTCTCCAGAGAAATTTAAATAAGTAAAAAGGCTGGAAAGGTGACAGATTTGGGTGACTTTTGAAGGCAACCCAGAGCCCTGAGTTCTGGGTGCTATAATGGCTTCAGTTAAATTTTTAATGCTGAGCTTATTTTATTAGCTAATAAGCTAGATAAGTAATAAAAAACAACTTACACATGTTATTATATTTTACTAGCCACAGTTGGAATAACCACTGCCATCACTGGAGACATTTCCTGGCCTCACTTGGGTAGAAACTGTTTAAAAATATATTGTTCAGTGGGCCTGTACCCAGATGTGTAGATTGCTTCATTGGCTCCAGGTGGGCCTCCAAGATCTGGGCATGTGCACTGGAGCCTGAGGAGGCTGCCCAGGTTCAGCTTGTCAGTCCTTGGCCACCTGCGCAGCAGCAAGTCCTGGGTTGGACGGGGTACAGGAGAGTAGAGAGGGACCTCTGGGAAGTGTGTGTGCCCAAGGTCCTGCAGCCAGACCCCTGGAGATGAGCCTGTAGACCTTGAGCCACCCCTGCCAGCCTCTCTCACAGGGTTCTGTAGTTCTGCCTGCTTGGTTCCCCTACTGGGTGACTTATGGCCTCAGGAGGTGGGCCTTGCTCTTCTACGGGCAGTGAAAACTAGGCTTGAGGGAATCCCTGTACATTTGTTAAGAGCCCTGACCTGAGCCTGGACAATGCAGGGCTCTGTGCTTGGGTACCCAGCGAGCTGGGCGTGTCACTGGTATATAAGGACCTGTATGTTGCCAGATGGTGACTCATGTGGGACCAACTGCCCATGGACCCTGGTCTCTGTGCACTGTGGCTTCACTTAACATCTGTGACTCGCAGGAAGTGGGCAGGGTCTGCTCTGCATGCCCATGGAATAAAGGCTTATAGTTGGGCTTTCCATATCCCTGGAAGGGTAGGCTTGTACCAAGGGTTGGCCCATGCTTCCTTAAGCTGGGTCTTTTGATCTTGGTTTATACATTTGCTTTGGGGGGAGGGAGCTCCACTTGAGCATTCTTTATGCCCAAGTAAAGGAGTCTCTTTATGCATGGTTCTGGGACCAGATGCATGAGAGCCTTGGATTAAAGGTGCAAAATGCCTTTTAGGTTAGACTTTTGGAGCAGGTGGGCTGAAAAACCTTGTCTTCCCTGGAGGTGCTGCGTGGGGCTGGGACCTTCAGGGTCCAGAGCAGATCTTGAGGGTGTGTGTGAGAGCACCCTCTGGCTGTCAGCCTCTCCAACTTGCCAGCAGAAACGGGACCAGGGAGAGAACCCAAGAGTCAGACCAACATGGGGGGCGGGCAGGAGGCTCTGAGGTCTAAGGCTCTGCCTTTGTCTGCAGTTGGGTTCAGCAGGAGCAAGTGCCTGCAGGTGTAGACTGTGTGCTAGAAGCAGAGGATGTCAGAAGAAGATGTGACCTTAGGGCTTGTCCATTCCAGCCTGTCCTGAGGAAACTGAGGCTCTGTTAGCCTCTGTGCACTAGGGTTCTTCTGGACATGGTGTTTATTTTTGGATCCACATTTAGGATGGGATGTTGACAAACTAGAAGGCCTCCAGAGAAGGGGCTGATGGTCCCGGGCAAATTGCTTAATATATCTGTGCAGCAAATACCACCATAACCACCACCATAAGACTGTGGGTAGAATAAGGGAAATAGCGTGTGTACAATGTGTTTGTGTGTGCATGTATGTATGTGTGTATCTATAAGGGTGTGTATCTATATATGTATATCATATATCTCCATCTATCAATATATATATGTGTGTCTCTGTGTCTGTTAATATATGAATACACATACACACCACCCAGCACACTGGTTGGCACAGGGTGAGTGCCAACAAATGCTCATTATCACTGTCACAGTTGCAGGCCATGGAGGGAAAGTGTGGGCTTGTTCTGGGTGACTTCAGAGGGTGGGTGTTCGTGGGAGGCACGCTCAGTCCACTGTGAGAACTCCCCCTTTTCTTTATTTGCCTGCTTTCCCCCTTTTGTTTCTGTCCTCCCTTTTCTGTCCTTGTCATTTACTTCTTCTTGCTTGTTCATCTTCTTGCCCCATCGTTTTTCTTGTATAAATGGGATGGAGACCTGCTCTGCTCAGCTGCAGGGAACTCTGTGTTCCTAGGCGAGGGTTATGAAATGGTGACAGAATTGGATTTGCCCCCCACCAGAGGAAGTTGGCCGTGTGTGAGCATTCTCATTTCATGTCTGTCACCCTTGAAACCAGGGTAGAAACATCCCGGGGGCCTACCAGCCGCTGCCTCCCCGCCCCCCACCCATATCCCTGGGGCACAGGTGTTCACTCAGCACCCAGTGGTGGCTCTTGTCTCTCTTGGCAATGGGTGGGGGTGTGGAAATTGCACTCAGATTGTCTTTGCTCATGTCTTCTTTAAATCCTAATGCCAAGATTATGGGTAAGGATGCCAAATGAGCCAGCAGGTGACCGGCCATCTGGACCCTGAGTGAGGGAGGTTGATTATAGTGAGGAAAGCCCCAATGGGGGAAATGACGCAAGGGCCTCATCTAGAAATGTCTGCCCTCCCTGTAGTTGTAATTATAGCTACTTGGTTCCTCAGAGCGAGTTGCTTAAAGGCAGCCCAGAGGACAAGTTAAGCTCTGATTCCTGCCGTAGTGTGACCCTGCTGACCCCCTCACTGCATTCCTGCTCACATGGTCTTGGAGGCCCCTTCTGCCTGGTGATTCATGTGAAGCTGCAGCTACCCTTTTGCAAAGTAATGTGTGCCATCCAGGGCAGGGCCTAGCTTGAGCATGTGAGTTGTTTCTTAGCTAATATTAGTTACTGCTTTTTTGCGACCTGCTTGACCATCAAGCATTGGTTGGCTCCCAGCAAGACCTGAGCTATACATGGCCATTTAGACATGGATCCTGTGTGTGAACAAAGATTTCAGAAAAACTGACAATTAAAAAGTTTACCCACTGAATAATGTCCCACTGGGTGTCACAATCCTTGCTGTATTTTTAACACCACGCTGCTCAGCTTGAAAGAACAACAAATTGTGTCTCTCAACAGTGCTTCAAATAGAAACAAGACATTTGTGGGAAGGGGTCAGGATGCTGAAACAGAGGTGTCATTGACTCTCTGGTGGCACCTGCCACCCACTGAGTCACTGACCTCCCTGAGCAGGCCTCAGAACAGGCAGCAACTGTTGTCTTAGCAGATGTTTGAGGGCCCCAGCAAAGCTGGCCAGGGACAGTTTAGGGTAGAGAAGAAGCGTGAGGTAGAAACTAATATCCCCTCACATCTTTGGGAAGGCACTGAGAGCCTTGTTCCTGCAGATGAGTCCAGGAGAGGGCAGGACAGGGCCCCGGGGCCTTCATGGGATAGGGCTGTTGCTATAGCACATGACCAGCGGGCTCATGGCAGATGCTGGGCAGGTCATTCCCAGATGAGGCTCCAGTGGGGGCCACCTTTAATGAGGGATATAGGCCCTCCTCAATCACCTTGTGGGG